ATTTGCAACATTGTTGAGCTTGCAACATTGTTGCAGTCCCGAGAGGAGCAATTTGCAACATTGTTAAACCAGTAAATATCACAATATCAGAAAATGTTCCAAAATAGTGACGAAAAAGTGTGATCTCATTTTTAAGCGAACCGCATAATAAAATAGCGAAAGTGACGAATTATGCGAACAGTAACATTATTTTAGGAAAAATAATTGGTGACTCACCAGCGATTCTTCAAGAAGACCGAGACATATGTGCCCAGATTAGGTTTTCAATATAGATGGCAGGCTGTTGAAGATACAATAGTGCAGCGCTAGATGGCGTCGGATCATCTTTGACATATGGTAAACAGTTTTATTTACATATGGCCATGTGCATATAACTACGAGCACGTTGAATGGCGTATGCACAAGTAGGAACTTTGTATCTATACATTATAACTCATCGAGGAGTTTTGACGCCGCATTAGTATGGGGAACGTTCAGCTTCCACTCCCAGGGTCTCCTGTATATTCACACGAGTACAATAAAATTAATTGCGCGTGTGCCATAACCAGGCCACAGAAGGACGATTCTCCAGTGAGCCATGTGAATTCATAGTTGCTTATGTAACTCGTACCTGTTCGCGTAATCGCTTCATTCGCGGTTCCGCTCGAGCATCCGATGCACGGTTCGACGATTAGTCAATGCGCACGACGTACGGACGTGCGTGTGGGCGTTGCGTGCTTCCATGCTAATGGCGTTCTTTTGCAACCGCGGCCCTAAGATCCTCGATTGGAAAAACGGACGGGGTTAATAGCTGGCGTGGCTCGTTCCTTCGGTTCCTCCGACCGGCTCGTCATAGACAAGATCTTCGCGTGAAATGTGCTCACCGACCGAGGGAAAGCGAGAGAGACTTTACGAGTCCGAGACGACCCGGGAGAGATAGTAGCGTAACAAACGTGTGGCCCCAGGTGAAACCACTTTCGCTATTTTCGCTATCCAGCCGTGCGTTTTCATTTTTTCCATGAATAGACCGAGGCCTGGGCACTTTCGTGCATTGTGACGCTCTCTTCTCTTCCACCGACCAGAACCCCAGCGTTGCAAGAACTCAAGAGTCGGGCAAAAACTGGCACTCTCCATTTTTTTTTTTGCCATCTGTCTCAAAGAGACTTTTTCTAAGAATGCAAAAATAATTCGTGTAGTACTTTCAATTAATTTATTCAAAGTATTTTAAAGACACTTCGTCTTTCCTGGTAGTAAATACCGTACCGCGAAATAGCTTCTAGTAGTAGTTTCGAGTAGTAGTACACTCTTGCGGTGTATGGATCGCGGTAAAACGGCCAGGGCGACTGGAAGTGAAATCCCCGACGCAAATCGCGTATTTGGAACCATTTTACTGGTCAATTACGCAAATCGACGCGCAGACATTTCTCGGGGAGACGTTTTTACTCGTCCACGTCTTTCGCTTACGCCTAGCAATTTGCATACGCCGTTAATGCCAGTGCGAGCCGCAAGCCTACGCCATTATTCGTTTACGTTATTGTTTCTGCATCTACAATTCTGCATCTACAATTCTACGTGTACGATCTACGCCGAGTATTCGTTGTTATTATCGACGTCAACCCAGTTGCTTAGGCTACAAAATGTTGCTTTCGTCTGAGAGGTTAGGTGTCGGGGAGGCTTGCCAGGATACTTGCTTGTACGAAATTGTATTTGGGAATATCACAGTTGCCTGGTGGCGCAAACTAGGCCGCGATTACGCAACAATAACGCATAAGTGCGTCGATCGGTGGTGGCTCGTACCTGTTGCGTGGACGCCTGAAAAGAGAACGCGCTCTCGCGTGGATGCACGTTTTCGCGGAATTACTCCTAGAACAATAACAGGGACCAGTGTTACGTGACCGTACTCTTGGATGTAGTGACGTCAAGCAGTATTCCTAATTTGGAATTACATTGACCAGGCCTAGGATGATCGAAAGATTCTAAAGAAGCAGAGTAACATTTCTATTCGTTAATAATTGTCCACAGTCGTCCACCCTACTCCTAGCGACGCCAGCGAGGAAACGATGAAACAACATCTACACTTGTGCACGCATCGTTTCTCCGCCAGCGGCGCTAGTAGTAGAGGAGACAATTACTCCTTGGTCCGACGTACCGTGAACAAGAACCAACCGTTACTAGAAATAGAATTATTCCTATTATTCCAATTCGTACGTTCTCAAGAGTAACAGTACCATTACACCCGCGGGTAGAACTATTAGCGCCGTGTACATCGGAGAAAATGAGATCCACGGGGTACTCGAAGCATATACAATTCAGGTCCGGGTACCCGGAGGTCTCATCTCATCCTCGTACTCCTGGGACTAATGCTATTCAGACTAAGAATTCCATTAGCTATGCTACCCCTAGGAGCAGCGCTAATACTTCTTGGAAATAAGCTCACGGTAACTGGAATACCAATTACGGAACTCCTCTATGTACGCGGGGCTTGTACGCGCACCACTTGTCCGTTTTATCTAACCAATATGCTCGACGCGGCGTTACTTTGTCGAAAAAGGTATAACAAGTGGTTGGAACCGCGCAAGTTGGCCGTGTACCGTCGGGGAGCGATAACGAATGTCCCTGGAGGGACCGCGAGTCCTAGTGGCCATAATTTTTAGACACGCACACGCAATCGCTGGCTATTCTATATTCGTTTGGCACCTCGGCTAATGACTAACGACGACACCGTGATGGAAACTCGTATTCCGTTGGCCAAGTCAAAAAAACATTCCCATTACCTCATGGTGGCCCGCGGGGGCATTCCTTCCAGCCCCGTAGAGTACGTTACAACATCAATTTATGTAACCCATACAGGAATTACTTACTTCAGATATCACTTTGGACTATCCGCGGTTAAAATATTGATATTCGTCGTTTTCGGGCAGGACGACACTCGCGGATTCAGGTGGATTAAAATTGACCACCTCGACCGAGAAACACGGACGTCTACTATGCAGGAAAATACAGAATTGTAGAACAGTATCGGTAGGAATGAAAAAAGGCGAACGATTTTGTCCGGTCGCGTGAAATCGCTGCGTGAATGAAATTTCCATTTCCCGTTACGCGGAGTCTGATTCACGCGCGAGTCACGCTGCTCCGTGCAGAAAGAGAACGCATTCTTTTGCTGCACGGCGAATCTAAGGCAAATCTCTCGGTCGTACCACGGACGCTGGAACGTTCGAAGGGAACGCCCAAATAATATCGTACGAAGCGTGCAAGAAAGCATTCGCGATGCTAACGGAACCGAGCGACGTGTTGCTCCTACGGAGGGTAACACACGGTTGGAAAGAATTCCATCTCGCGTTGTCATATTCGTATTTCATTGGCCTCTCGACGTGCAACGGAACCTGCATAGTTCTGGAAGAGAAGTATTCTATCCAGAGGCCTCCGTGGTGGTAGCGGTCTAGCCAGACCTAGGTAATGCAAAATCAAAATTTATTACGTAGGTTTAATAAGCGAAAAATTAGGTCAAACTTTACATTGTGAAAATTTAATAAATATTTGAATTTTTCTGTATTCGTTTTTTAGTTTCAAAGACATAGTTGATTGGCGGATTACTCCGCGGGAAAAACTTCTTCGAAGGGTCAGCCTTTGAATGAATTCAAAAATATTGTCAAAAAAAAAAAAATTGTGCGGTGGCATTTTAGGGAGAAAATGACATTTGATTGCAGAGAAGCGGACGTTTTCAGGTGAAAATCGACATTTTTCAACAAAAATCGAAAGAGAGAGTCAAATTTTTGAAAATTCTCGCGATGTAAAGATTGACCACATTTTCCACTTACTAAACCTACGTAATAAATTTTGATTTTGCTTCAGGGAGATGGAAAATTTCACGCTCTTTCGAATGGTGTACTGATTTTTAAGTTCGCACTGTAATTTCGTGGAGCTATTTCCGTTTAAAAAGTGTCAAGTCGAAAACACAGAAGAAAAAATGAAAAGTGAAAATACTCGAGAACAATGGGACACAAAGAAAATGTCTAAGAGTAATTTTTTGTTGGAAGTTTGTTGTAGAATTGACACCATGCGTATGTCCGGACTTATACGTGGACACCCTGTACGAAATAATCACAAGTTCAAGTTCGGGATTTTGCTAAAAGTTTTCCAGTAACTTTCTTAGCGAGTTGGATCTCTTTACACAGTATCCATGATTGAACTATTCGAACGATCCAAGCCCCTCCCAAAAAGATTGAACGTGGCGTAAAAAACGTGAATCCATGGAAAAATTTCACCTAACCGCGGCGCTCCTCTCGTGCAGAGATTTCACGGATGCCGAGCGTGTCGGGGGCCCAATCGTGAAGTTAATCATACGCGACGCAAGTAGGACGGGCCTCGCAAAAACAAACGATCTGCGCACGCGCAGCGAGATACATGTAATCGCCGATCGCGGCGCTGCCGGCTCGTGAGTTATTCCAGTAAATCCGACATACATTCCAGCGCGTATCCCGCTTACGTTTCACCTCGGCATGGAATGCAGTCACCTTGCGGCAGGTGTACCGAACGTCCTCAAACGTTTCAGCGCCGTACTTTCCCCGATACGAGCCCAAAGATTCGGCACCAATGCCGTCAACGAAGACGCGACAGATTAGAAACATGCTACCAACTTTCCATGATAATTTAGTCTAGGGGGGGGGGGGGCCGATTGGAATGGGCCTGGGTGGAGGGAATAGGAATGCACGAGCCTGCAGCTGAACTGGTAAAAAGGTAATGCGAACGGGGCCCACGGGTGCAGAACCCTTCGTACCATCGTCTACAGACCCATCGTCGTACCTGCCGCACCCCCGCATCTCTGAGAGCACCTGTTCCAGGTCTCGCGAGTGCAGTGTCCTTTCTCGAGGGTGTCCGTTGCGCTACCTCGTCTTTTCTAGGTGGTCTGCGATTAGAGAAAAGGTCCGTGAAAAGCACCGATCTGACCGGATAATTTCAGGTTAGATATGCGCGGCCACGAGTGGAGCTAACGGGTCCAGGGAGCTCGTTTACGCGACCTCTGGACGGTCATCCCGTGGTTAAATGCGCGAGAGGCTTTCTCCGTGGCTTGGAATGCGGCCTCTCCCTCTGACCAGATCCGCGGCTTGCTTCGAGGACAGCCACGAAGGCACGTCGGCCTCTGGTCCCGCCTTTGCGCTCGGTTCCTCAGCAGTGGCAGGCGTGCCGGAAAATCCTGCTTCCCTCTGGCGAATAAGGGATGATTGTCTTTACTGGAGTCGAAGACCCAGTCGCCGGAAGCACGGTGGTCCCGGACTGATCGCCATTTTTCAGTTAAGCGATTATTATGGAAGCATCGAATTAATTTCTTGAAATTAAATTTCGTGGATCAATCAACTGAAAAAATCTAATTGACCGGTGTCCTGAACGCCACCTGGCGATGGCGTCTCGAAGCTCGAGGCGTTTTGGAGCCTACTTAGGGCTATCGAAACATCTAACGACGCCTTTCGCGATCGACACACATACTAGATCGCGAGATCGTTTAAATGCCTAAATTAGGCAGGTTCTTGGGAGGTGTCGGTGAAAGGCTTTCGTAATTAATTCCGACTTGTATACGGTTCAAGATGAATACGTTAGTACTTCCAGACACTCTCGGGATCGTTTTTTTTTTTTCTTCTGGAGACTACCGTTACAGCGTAATCTTTACGTTGCATCTCTTTGTTCGGGCTGAATGAGCCTTTTCGCGGCAGTCTCTTTCCGCGACGGTGTCCGTACGCTGCTCCAGCGATCGTTAGATCGCAGAACGGTTGCCTTTCGGGTGACTCAGTAATTAAACATTTGCAGCTCGACAGCGCGAGAAAAATTATTCGAGCGTGGAGCTGGCTCACTTGGAAGTCAACTATTTACAGAGGCACGCTTGCGTGTACATACGCGAAGAGAGAGCGACCAAGTGGGACATGATACCGAACATCCAAAAGTCGTTTGGACTCAGCTCATCGCATCGAGGGTGATCCAGGACTTCTGGACTTGCTAGAGATGTTCCAGGTATCGTAGGAGTCGATACCGACACTCCAAGTACGTGGGACCGACTAAGTACGATGCGAATGACTCCAAGTGGAGGAATCTTGGGACCTTGGGATTCACCAGGACTTTGGATTCCTCGAGTCTAAAGCCGGCGACTGACTTGCAACAGAACATTGTAATGTAACGCGAGCATTCGCTTAGTTTGGCGGACTAGCGAGCGACGAACCGAACCGTGCTCCACTGGTCTGTCGGTTTTTTGACGAACCTCTTTGATCGTCTACTTTTCACTGAACCGAGTAGGAAGCATTTAGAGAGAATTCAGCCGAGAGTTCGAAGCGAGCAATTCGTGATTCCAAAAAGGACCTTGTAATGTAACGTTGGTGTCGAACCGTAAAATTCGTGCCGAGCATTTACATTACAACGTTCAGTTGCAAGTCAGTCGCCGGCTTAAAGGGAATTCTGGAATCCGTGGAATCTTCGAGATCTGGGGATCCCTTGCACTGCTGGAACCTTACAGGAATCCCAGGACCTCGAGAATGTATCAGCTTTCGAAGAAGCGAGTATCGTCCACCTCGTGCCAGGATCGGGAGTGCAAAAACTTCCACTTTTCGTAGTGAAACGAGGAATGCACCGCGACATCGATACGGCGCCTCTGCGCATGTAATTGCTCTCTTCATAAGCTAATGCATCTTTCATGTCGATGCGACTGTTGTCAATAGTCGGTTATAAGATCCAACAACGTGTCTTCGCCACGTCTTCTGTAATCTCGAGATGGATCGTTGTAGATTTCCACGATTGGAATGTCGGTATTGTTTAACACAAATGATCCATGTTGTAATTACACAGGGTGTGGCGGAACTCGTGGTACGATCCCAAGAGAT